GGTGTAATAGGAATATGAGAGGACCTTAATATAATCTTTAATATTCCTTATAGTCACTATTACTGGGTGGGGGTCCACCTAAGGTATAACTCATAAGGCCTAGGGGTCTTATGGAAGTCCACATGGAAGTGGTATTAGAATCACGAACGTGAAACTTACTCACCTTTAGATGGCATGCACTTTAGGGCAATCCAAACAGCTCGTGGTTTAGGCTTCTCGGCATGGATACGCGGGGATTGAACATGGATTCCGGGGGGTCCCTAACTGCTTAAAGGGTGGTCCTATGGAGGATTATACAGGGCTCAAACTCTAAGTAGAAGCTTCCAAAATGGAATCTCATGATCTTGATGAACTAGCCCCCCCCTTACGCAAACCCTGCAATCCCACATACCCCGCTACACTTCTGGAACGTCTCCCGCAAACACCTGTAGCCCTGACATCCCTGCATAGCCACAACTTCTGAAATGTTCAATTACCACTTCCTGTAATAATGTAACTCCAATAGAACCCTAAGGTAAAACAAAGACTCTAACCTGAAAACCCTGCATAACTTGGAGGTACATGGGTAATCAAAAGTCGGCTGTGCAAATACCAAGTCAGGTTCTGACTGGTAGTAACTACTAATATGTTTCTAAGACCTTGGTCATGCATACCCTCAACCCTCAAGCCTCCACTCTATACCCTGTGTACCCTTCTCACTTGGAGGGTCAGGAAGACTTACTAAGTACACTTCTAACTTTTATAAGCCATATAATAACCCCAGTTATGTTTATTACTAACCTACTTATTGCCTCTGCCTGACCCTCCCAGCAGGAACTCCACAGAAAACCTTAAGTATCAGTCCTGTGCCACAAGCTCTAGAGCCTAGACATCTTCCGCACCAGCCTCGAAATCGCAACCCGTAAACCCCAAACTCTCGAATCTGAGTCTGAACACTAGACACTATAGATCCCCATATCCACTAGGGTTTAGGGTTTAAGGTTTAGGGTTTAAGGTATAAGTATATCACTTGAATAACTACTAGGCCCCCCTTGAAAGGGACCCCTACACCCAACGAATGTTTGGACCCCGCCTTCAGGCGAGCACACCTCGCCTAGATCATATTTTTGAAACTGGCCAACTGCTCCTGGGTTGCTCTGGGCTGAGGGTTGGGGTTATAGGGGTTTACGGTTTAGGGGTTATAGAAGTTATATAGGGATGCTGGGGTTAGCGTGTTTCTATGAAGAACGAAGTTTAGGGTTTACAGTTGAAGTCTGAGGGTTTAGGGTCTCGGGTTTAGGGGCGTCCCCTGGCACACCTTAGGATAATATGTGGCCTATAAACATTTGGGCTGTTCTTAAACAAGTGCATTGATTCTTGACTTGATGCCTTGGGAAAGTAGACTTTCAGCTGTTCAGGGCATGCAGGTTAAGGGCTTGGAGGGAAGGGGGAGGGAGGGATAGAAGCGCGAACAACCTTCGTGAAAACTAGCTTTAAAGAACTAAAGTTATCCGGCGTATAACTCAGCGTACGACTCAATGAGATGTACCACCGGAAACTCCCTGTGAAGTCTGTCCAAGATGTAAGATTTAAAGCTGAAGCTGCCGCCCTAATTCCTAAATCCCTAAACCCTAAATCCCTAAACCCAAAACCCTAAATCGTTAAACCCTAATTCCCAAAACCCCAAATCCCTAAACCCTAAATCCCTAAGCCCTAAATCCCTAAACCCTAAACCCTAAACCCTAAATCCCTCAATCCCTATACCTTGAGAGTCAGAGGTGGAGGATCTAAATATAACTACTACTCGTAATGTAATCATTAGCTCCTAAACCCCAAGCCCTTAGACCTACAGTAAACGGAATATGGCTCTGGGAACATTTACAACAGGATGCCCATATACCCCATATTCCATTTACTCAAGGGGGACTATAAGCCCTAAACCCTAAACTCCAAGCGGTTGTTACTAGGGGATGAAGTGGGGAGGTTGATTGTAAATGTACGGAGGCGAACTCTGATAGGCTTCAGGCTTAAAATTCAGGATCTGGGGCTTTTTGGGCTCCGACTCGGAGTTGAAAATTTTCCGGCGAAACAAGATGGAAAGCTATAAGGATTAGGGTTTACGGTTTCGGGCTCTAAGATTCAGAGTTCAAGGGATCGAGCCATAAATCCTGAAGCCCAGAGAAATACAAATTGCATAGCCCACGACTGACCGGAGCCACCGACAAGAAGTCCGAAATAAACGGGTTTTATGGGGATAGATAGGGTTGAGGTCTTACAGTTTAGGGTATAGCGTGTGAAGCCTAAACCCTAAGCCCAAAACCCAATCCCTAAGCCCTAAACCCAACTTTGCATAAACCCTAAAGGGGCTGCAATATTTGTGGCATCCGAAAAAAGACTAGCAGAGAGCGTCCTGGAAATTTGATTTGCGTACTAACAGTTATTAAGAATTTCAGTGCCAAGCATTGCTCCCTGGGCTACCCGTTACAGTTGCTGCTGCAAGGACCAAAAGAGCAAAACCCCCAAGATAATGGCAACTTTCCAGTGGCTACCAGAAAAGGCTTGCTTGCTTCAGGGGGCTGCAACATTTGTGGCAGCCAAAAAACTGATAAGTCATGTTTTCTTGCATTGTTATCTCAAAGCCAAAGCCCATGAGAGTGACACGCAACTATCATCGCTGGCACTCCTTCCCACAGACTTTTTCTCATACTGCTCGCCCTGAGCCACTGTCCAAGATCCCAGCAAGCACCAGCGTCCTCAGCCACTAGCTGGGAACAAGAACAATGCCGGGCAAGGAACAGAACATACGTAAGACGAACTCTTGTGCCACTGCATCGCTCTCTGAGACCCTCACAGTTTAGTTAAAGGAGGAGGCCGTGCTAGTGGAGGCCTGTCAGCAGCCCCCCCCCACCCCTCCGCTGCCAAAAACAACCGACCAAAACAAGAACCTCCTTGGGCGGCGCCGGGTCGCGGACGCTGCCCCGACGCCGGCGGGGAGCCCCTTGCGCACGCTTCGGAGCCGTGATTGCACACTGAAACATAGGGCCTGAACAACGCACACAAAGCATCTAAGTAGCAGACACCATATCTGGAGCATTTCGAACGGTGCTTATTGCACAGATATTCGCCCTCCACGATGGGGCGTTTCCCCCTCAAAGCGGCCGGAAAAAAAACCGGACGTTGTCAACTAAACCATCTGGGGCCCGCGCTTCTTCAGCAAGCTCAGTTCACCTGCACCACAAGTGCAAGAATCCCCACCTGCGGCATGGACGAGTTCCTCCAGTCGCACCGGACATCTCGCCTTGCCACGACACTTGCGCACGGCGCAGACCTGCAGTGTTGACAAAACGGAGAACAAAAAAAAGAGGCACTCAGATCGCCTTGTCATTGCCATCGTCGTTGAAGACTGGCCCTGAGCAGAGGAAGAAAAAAGAAACAGCGAAAAGCCGCAGAAAAAAAAACTCGTCCGAAAGGCGAAGCATGGCTGCAAGCTTGCGCCGGTGCTGCACCTCCATTGCCTGATACAATGCTCACAACCCAAAAACAACAAAAAAACAAAACAAGCCAACCTGTATCCCAGCAAGGATGTCTTCAGGCTGAAACTTCCGGAACAACTCCACCACTTTCTCTTTTGCAAAAGGCCTGAGGCAATGTAAGCCGCAGGCCGGGCTACAAAGGGAAAAAACCGAGTTTCTCGCATTGCCGTGCGGAACAGCCCACACGGGCAACGGAAGCTAGGTCGACAGAAACAGGCTGAGACATGGCATGGCAAAAATTCAGTTTCATGATCGCATACAAAAAGCCCGGACATGATAAATATCAAAGAACGACGAATGCCACACTTGCTCTATGCTCAATCGACTGGGAAAGAAATGAAGTGGAAACAGGCTCCCATCTCCGACAGACACCTCATTCATGGCCTCTGAAAAAACATCCGAGGCTCTGGACCTTAAGTTTGCAACCCAAATTCGGGGCCCCAGAACGGAAACGTTCCAGCGCTTCGTGGGAAAGGCAGTCTTGATGCAAAAAGGCTGCAAAATTGCTGGCATCCAATAAAAGCTGATTGGCAGAGAGCGTCCTGCAAATTAGAGTTGATCACTAATCTTTGTTCGGAATTTCAATGGCCAAACAGTGCACCCCGAGCCAGCCGCTGGAAGCGCTGCTGCATCGGTTCACAACACATCACCCCGGAATAACAGCACCTCTCCAGCGGCACCTGGAACACGCTCACTTGCTTCAAAAGGCTGCAATACTTGTGGCATCCGAAAAACTGATCAGCAGCGGGCGTCCTGAAAATTTGATTTGCGTACTAACCCTTATTAAGAATTTCAGTGCCAAACATTGCTCCCTGGGCTACCTCTTAGAGTTGCTGCTGCTCAATGCGAAAGATCGGTCGTGCCGTAGGCGGAGTAGACGATGTAGGGTCGCCCTCGTCCGCCCTGGTGGTAGCCGCCGAGGCCGGGCCGCCAGCAGCAGCGTCGCCCACAACTCGGGCGGTGTCGACCATGTTCGTGGCCAAGAGGTAGTTTTCCAAAGAGGTGAGGGCGCCCGAAGTGGGCGGCCAGAAAATTGCTGGGCTCATGTTTTGGAGCCTCAGGGTTGAATGCGGACCTCATCAGCTAGCCTTGGCGCTATATTGGGGTTATATTGGGGTTATATTGAGATGATGGAAAAGAAAATGGAAACTACTATTTAGGGTTTAGGGTGAGGAAAGTTTAGGGCTTAGGTTATAGGGTCTACCGTGGAAAGTTAAACAAATTGACATGCCCAGGAGGAACCCTTAGAACCCTCATATAAATCTAGGCCCAAAGCCTACACCCAAAACCCCCATACCCTGAAACCCTTCAGAACCCCCAAACCCTAAGAACCCTCAAAACCCCTTCAAAACCCCGCACAACCCTCAAACCCCTAAACCCCAAAACCCCTTCAAAACACCTCAAAACTATAAAACCCTAAAAACCCTCAAAACCCTCAAAAGCCATCAAAACCGGCAACCCTAAACCTCAAAAAATGAACAGTACAACCAACTTTAGGAAGGCCTCCACCCTAAACCCTATCTAACCCCTATATCCCCCTTTAAAGCTACCAACAACCCTAAACCCTACACCCCTAAACCCTTAAACCCTAAACCCTAAACCCCTAAACCCTAAACCCCTACCCCCTAAACCCTAAACCCTAAAACCCTAAAACCCTAAAACCCTACAAAACTTAGTTCCCCGAACCCCAAAGGATGAAGGCACCTTGGAAGTAGCTCCTGACCTCTGAGGTGGCGGTGGTTAGACCTGCACGCTCGGGATGTGGTGGATACTAGAAGAAGGTTTAGGGTTTAGGGTTGAGGGTTTAGGTTTTAAGGTTTTAAGGTTTAGGCTGTAGGTTTTAGGGTTCAGGTTCAACAGGGTATTGGTACATACAGGGTTTGGGATCAGGGCTTGGGTTTACACAAATGCTTCAAGTCCCTAAGTACCTTGTACCTTAGGATTGATAGTACTATAGTGTACTGAGGTCATGCCGGCACTTTTGCATCAAGTGTATGATGTACTGCAGGGCTTTCGAGTGTCGCAGAGATATCTACATCTACCTGTGCGTCATACCCTTCGTTAGAGAAAAGCTGCCAGAGCAGCAAATCCCTGTTCTTCGCGGCCTTTAAATCCTCTTTATCCCCATAATATCCCTCTAATGTCCCTATAATGTCCCTATAATATCCTTACAATCCCTAGAATATCCCTATAATATCCCTCTATAATGCCCCTATCCCCTTGAAAAATCCTTAGCTTTCCGGAGCTGTAGCTTGGTCCTAGAACTACAACACACAACGAGAAATAGAGGGCTCTGAGCTCCTTCCATACTAGGGTTTAGGGTTTAGGGTTTAGGGGATTATATACGGGTTATATAGGGGTTATATAGGGGATGTATGTGTCTTCAAAAGAAATGGAAACGTGGAAAACACAAGGCAAAAAGTGAGACATCTGCATTTAGTTTCCTTTTTGCTTGAAACGAAGACACCACGCATTCTTAGGTTCTTGAGAAGACAAAGATGGGCCACGCCTGCACCAACACACGATTCGCACCCCCAGAAAATGGGATCTCCTCACTTGAGGAACAACAAATAGAACGTCCCCTGCACTTCTAACAAGAAACAATGTGAGAGAG